CGGCACCGGCACCGGAACCGGGCACTGCCCACGGCACCGGCACCGGAACCAGGCACTGCCCATGGCACCGGAACCGGGCACAGCCCACGGCACCGGAACCGGGCACTGCCCACGGCACCGGAACCGGGCACAGCCACTGTCCCTGCCCAGGCTCCGGCCCCTGGAGGTCACAGACCCTCCCCTGTCCCCGTCCCGTCCCCTCCTGTTCCCAAGCCCACCCCATTCCCAAACCCTGCCCAGTTCCCATCCCATCCCAATCCCATCCCAATCCCATCCCAATCCCATCCCAATCCCATCCCCATTCCTGTTCTCGTTCTCATCTGCAATCCCGTTCCTGTTCCCGTTCCCATCCCCATCCTCAATCCCATCCCATCCCCAATCCCACTCCCATCCTCGTTCCTGTTCCCATCCCATCCCATCCTCATCCTCAATCCCGTTCCCATCCCCATCTCCAATCCCGTTCCCATCCCATCCCCATCTCCGTTCCCATCCCCAATCCCAATCCCGTTCCCGTTCCCGCCCCCGGTGCCCCACTGACCGGAACCGCGGTGTTGGGGTGTAGGGCGGGGGTTGCCAGCTCAGCCCCTTGGTCAGCAGCCGGGTGAGCGCCGAGGCCGTGGCGCGGGCGGCCGCGGTGGGCGCGGGGGCGGCGGCGGCCGCGTGGTGACTGCGGCGCTGCCGCACCGGGGAGCCCACGCACAGCTTCACCAGCAGCCCAAAGAGCTCGGCCAGAGCCCGGCCCAGCCGCGACGAGGCTGCGGGGACACCGGGGGACATGGGGGGGCACCGGGGGGGACACAGGGGGGGACACCAGGGACACAAGGGGGGACACGGGGGGACATGGAGGGACACCAGGGGATATGGGGGGGACACGGGGAGAGATGGGGGGACATGGGGGGGACACAGTGAGATCCCAGGGGGAACACCGGGAGACCTCAGGGGACAGGGGTGAGACCCCCAGGGGGACAGGGTGAGACCCCCGGGGTGGGGACCCCCCCCCAGCCCAGAAACCCCCGCTGAGAACCCCAAATCCACCTCCCCCCATTGCAGTCACCCCAAACTCCGGGCTCTGCCTTCACCTTCTGGGGGGCTGCCACCCCCTCAGAACCCCCCCGAGGATCCCCCCTCACCCAGGGCTTTTGGGGCTCCGTTTCGGGGTCCCCCAGCCCGTTTTGGGGTCCCCCAGCCCGTTTCAGGGTCCCCCAGCCCGTTTTTTGGGGTCCCCCAGCCCGTTTCAGGGTCCCCCAGCCCGTTTTTTGGGGTCCCCCAGCCCGTTTCAGGGTCCCCCAGCCGCTGGTGGCCCCCTCCTCACCCGAGAGCAGGGGTTTGATCTGTTTGATGCGGGCGGCCATGGCCGGGGTGATCTTGGCCTTGGCTTTGGGGTCGCTGGCGCTGGGCTCGTCCGTCTCCATCGGGGCCAGGGGCTCCCCCTCCAGCCCCATCCCCTCCAGCAGCCCCTGGGCTGGGGGGGGGTCACTGCCCCCCGCCCCCCCCGCGGGGCCCGGACCCTCCGCCTCGGCCTCTGGGGGGGACGGGGGTGAGAGACCCCCGGAGACCCCCCCAAACTGAGCTTTAACCCAGAGACCCCCCCCAAAACTGA